TCCACGGCTTGCCTGGGCAAAATCACTCAAAAGGAACCTAACCACCTCTGTCGTTGATCCTCTGCTACTGTAACACGTGGAGCATATGGCTGGAGCATTGGATTTCAGCTGTGTTCCCTAACTGGAAGCCTCTTTCCTTGATTCTCGCATGAGTCTCCTATTGGTGCATATAGGTAGGGCACTTTGGTGTTAGACCGCAGAGCAATCTTGTAAGAAGTGTTTGATCCACATGTCCTTAGAGGAACAACACCTCTTCGGACCAGCCCTAAATGTTCATGGATGTTACTGGTGGTAAGAACATTCATCTTCCTCAGCGGAAGAATCCTAGGGAGCTGACTGCGAAGTCATATCCTCTAACTGTCAAGAAATGTCCCTCCACCTTCAGCAAATGAAAGTAACCATTACTACTATGGGGTCGGATCCCTTGAAGTAGCAATGGTTACATCGGTTTGCTAATTCCCTCAAGTGTTCTTTAGTATGGTTGCCTTGTATTTCTTGTTACTAAGATGGATTTTGTTTTTATTCTGATCCTTTGCTTCATCTAGTGGCCATAATGTGCTATTTTCCTGCTTTTTACCACTGCCCATAATATTGGAAGAACATTTGACTAGAAGAGAAAATTGCCAGAGAACATTCAATTTTGTTGTGGCTTTTATTCAGGAATAATTGCAGAGCAGGACCAGAGCTGTCAAACTGATAGTTCGGTCTTGCAGATTTACACAGGGAGGACACAGCATTCCCGGTGTAATGGTTGAAGCTGTATGACAGCCGGGCGCTGTACTCTGTACCCTGATGAGGAACATACAAAGTGGACGGCTGTCACACTGGCAGCGGAGTTCCCCTGGTTACACAGGGAGAGCTGTGATCTCCCTGTGTAATCTGCAGGACTGAGTTGTCAGTTTTGATATCAGTCTTTCACAGTGCTGGAGGTGGCTGGGTGATGTAGAGGCTCCCAAGATGGGTTCCTCTCATGCTTCTGCCCGGTTTCAGAGACCATTGGCCTCACACTTTAAATAAGACCTTTTGTGCAGGGAGTCTCCCATGTGGTCCACCCCATCCGTTGTTCTGTGACTCCATGGAATCTGGTTCTCTTTGCAGAGAAGCCGCCGATTTAACCCATTAGAGGCATTCCCTCTCTCTGCCCTGACCCACATGGTTGCTTTCCATGTAGCTATCACCTCGGTGAGGGGATTGTGAACTGGCCACCTTATATTGCAAAGAACCCTTTCTGGTTTTATATAGGGACAAGGTAGCGCTGAGGCGCAGGACTACCTTCTTGCCCAAGGTAGACTCTGCCTATCACTTTAACCAGAACATTGTTCTCCCGTCACTTTGTCCTGCTCTGGTTAATCAGAAAGCAGATTTTGCTCCATTGTCTGGAGGTAGTTCAGGCTTTGCGAGTCTACCGCTCTCTTTTAGAAAGACTGATTCCCTTTTTGTCATTCCTAATGGACTACAAAAAGTTGCCCTGGCTTTTTCCACCATCTCTAGGTGGCTCTGACAGACCATCTTTCAATCCTCCTGTAGTAGGCAGTATAACCCGAAGGTTTAGGATTTACTGTGTCCCTCCATCGACTCCTATAAAAGGATTTTTGGTAAGTACAAAAGTTCTATTTTCCTCGACTGACAAAACCTACCAGGCACATCTCATAAATGGCTGCTGACAGTGACAGAGACAGATAATTGTTAATTAAAAAAATGCAAAACAGTTTATAGACTAAGCGGATTACAAGAATCACACTGGGCTGGTTTAATTAGGTAGTGCAAAGTGCAGTGCAGTGACCGTATCCAGAGTGATGAATCCGAAACCTGCTTTGACCTGGCAGCAGTCAGCTGAAATCTGGTTGGAGAGTATAGGTAGCTAATATTGACACAATCCGTGGTTAAAGCAAGCCTGTCAGGCTACCCAAAAATTAAAGATGAAAGCACCCTGCAATAGAAGAGGTGTTACACTCGCCTCTCCAGTAGCCCATGTGTCCTATCTCCCTTGCGTTTTTGCTCTGTGGCCTCAGCTGGTCTTTTTGGCTATACAACACTTCTAGGAGTGTCATTCCTGTGTCCCCCTCCGCAGGCTGTGGTTCCATCAGTTAATCCAGGAATGGGCAAACTCTGGCTCTTTAGCTGTGGTGCAACTACAAATCCCATTAGGCATTGCAAGACTCTGACAGACACAGATATGACCCCCAGAGGCAGATGCATGGAGGGATTTGTAGTTTCACCACAGCTGGAGGGCTGGAGTTGGCCACCCCTGCTCTAACGCTTGGGTCACTACGGGACACAGCAGTTACATAGCTACATAGGATTTGATGTTGAATAAAGACACAAAGGTCCATCGAGTTCAATGTTTGTGTGTGTGTTTATATATGACTCTGTGTGTGTTCCATTCATTAAGAGTAGTTATGTAGGGACCTGAGAACGGAGCCAGGGAGAAACTTGAGGGACATCTGACTTTACTGATGATGAAGTGGTAGCTGTGGCTTCCCCTCACTGCAAGGGTTAAGTGCTCGTTTGCGTGTAGGTTAAAAAATAATAAAGTTATACTCCCCTGAAGCTCCAAGCCGGCCAGCTGTCACACCTTTTTAAGTGTTTTTTTACTGAAAATATGGATTAGATAAGCAGTTGTGTTATATCATGTGACATAGGAATTTGCTGCCACAACTAATCGATTTAATCGCTAATAGCGATGATGAGAGCCAACGATTCTCATTATCAATTAGTTGATTTTCGGTTAGTTGCCACCCTGCTCCATTGTTCTCCTCCTTGATGGGAGCCGCTGCATGCTGCGGTCTGTGTCCCCTTCAATAAAGGGGAGACAGAGTGCTGAAGCCCGCGCCCAGTGGGGAGTTGAGACCGCTGTGAATCTGCATTCCCCCACTGCTGCCCGCTATCCACCTCTGCTTCCTCCATGCCTCTGATGCAGCCCGCGATCCACCTCTGCTTCCTCCGTGCCTCTGATGCAGCCCGCGATCTTCCACTGCTGTCCCGTGCCTCCGATGCAGCCCGCGATCCACCTCTGCTTCCTCCGTGCCTCTGATGCAGCCCGCGATCCACCTCTGCTTCCTCCGTGCCTCTGATGCAGCCCGCGATCCACCTCTGCTTCCTCCGTGCCTCTGATGCAGCCCGCGATCTTCCTCTGCTTCCTCCGTGCCTCTGATGCAGCCCGCGATCTTCCACTGCTGTCCCGTGCCTCCGATGCTGCCTGCGATCCACCTCCTGCTTCCTCCGTGCCTCCGATGCTGCCCGCGATCTTCCACTGCTGTCCCGTGCCTCCGATGCAGCCCGCGATCCTCCACTGCTTTCTCCGTGCCTCCGATGCTGCCCGCGATCTTCCACTGCTGTCCCGTGCCTCCGATGCTGCCTGCGATTCTCCTCTGTTGCCTCCGATGCTGCTCGCAATCTTCCACTGTTTCCTCCGTTCCTCCTCTGCTGCCCGCGATCTTCCACTGCTTCCTCCGTTCTTCCTCTGCTGCCCCTTTTCCTCTGCTGCTGTGCCCCCTCTTCTGCTGGCGTTAGAAAGCCAGCGCCAAGTCTCCCATCCAGTGGCTGGGAGCAATAGACAGCCTGCTATTGGCCATTTTAAATTGCAATAACAGGCTTGCTATTGTTCCCAGCCACTGGCTGCTATGTTTACTTTCAGCTACCTCCAGCAGGTAGCTGTCATTCTCCCGTGAAGTGGAAAGGTGATGCTAGAGGTTTCATAGACCCCTAATGACACCTTAAAGAGAACCTGTCACCTCCAATCTGCTATCACACACCATGTGATGGCAATGAAGTAAAAAAATAAAGAACGTAAAATTAAAAATACCCCCCAAAAAGCTTAAAGTCCCCCTGACCCCGCGAACGTGCGCATACTAGCAAAAACTTAAGTTGGGTGCACCTACGTGCGAAAACGACGCTTGCGCTACACATGTTCAGTGTTGCTACATAAGCCAGAGTGAGAGCAATAATTCTGGGGCCAATATTACAGGCTAACTCTAAACTGATGATGTAGGGGCTTTTTATATACAATAGATATACAATTTTATTTTTTGTCCAATTGTGGTGTGTTTTTGTCATTTATTTTTTCTTATATATTGGCTTGGAGTTGTACAATTCAGATTATTTTAAATTCATGAAACTAATTAAAATTACTAATTTAATACATAAAATTATTTAAAAAAAATTTTTTTAAAGTGTTAAAGGTAATTTTTCGTTTCAGCCTGGCAAATTCTGCTGCAGGAAGTGCGTTGCGGTGCCATTCATTTCAACGGTACCCCAAATGCGCTTCCCGTCTACAGTGTGATCGCCTGCACTGGAACGCACAGTACTGTAATGCCGTGCGTTCCACTACGATGCGATTGCAAAAAAATGTGCATGCAGTTTTATTCTGACGTAAACTTTATGTTTGCAACACTGCATTTTGTATAATTTATTAATTTTATTAAATAAAAGATGGTATTTCATTTTTTTTTTTTAAATCCGATTAATTGAAAAAAATAATATGTATGAAAATAATCGATTATGATGCAGCCCTAGAATTTGCAACTGCCACCATTTTTATTTTACAGGGTCTCGGCAGTTAGAAAATATACAATGGTTTGGTGGTTTAAAGCATGGGGTGGGCAACTCTGGCCCTTCAGCTGTTGTGCAACTACAAGTCCCATGAGGCATTGCAGGACTCTTGCCAGCCACAGGCATGGCTCCCAGAGGCATGTTGAGATTTGTATTTAAAGCACAGCTGGAGGGCCAGGGTTGCCCGCCCCTGGGTTAAAGTCATCTTCAGGCCTAAA